TTACTCTCCCCAATCATCCGCTCAACCCGCGCGACCTCTGCTTGCCTGTGCCTGTGCCCGTGCAGTGCCAGGATGCCTTGTGCTGGGGTTGTGGCACAAACCCGGCCAAGTGCAAGAGGTGCAACAATTACACCTACAAGGATGTCACCATCCTGCTGGACAAGCGCTCTGGCCGCTGCGTGCCGCCCCGCTGCTCCGTCAACAACTGTCGCCTGTGCCGCGATGGCCGCCCCCGTCAGTGCGCCTACTGCAAGGCCGGCTACACTGCCAGCGAGTCGGGCGCCTGCGTGCCCCGCAAGCCTGCAGCGAAGGCTGATTGAGCCGCTGATTGAGCCACTGCATCATTGACGCCCGCCGCATGAATTCCATATGCAATTCATTTCACAGCATTATCTGCTGGGGGCAGAGGTTTCATAGCAGGTTTCTTGCACCAGGTGCTGGCAGCCGCACCAGTGGTGGTCACCCCCCCCCCCCCCCGCCTTCGCTCTCCGCCCCATCCGTGTGTGAGTTTGTTTGCACTCTCCGCCTCGTGGCCTTTTCAAATCGTGTGTAATGACCCGTGGGAATGCTCATCTGGGTGTAGGCTGCTTGCTTCCAACTCCTGGTGGTGGCGCCCCCTCAGCAGCGGCGGTACAACAATGTGCACTCAGGTCACTCCACGCCTGTGCAGCGCGGGGTGGCATGACGCATTTTCGCTCGGGAGCGGCACCATCCACTTGTCTGTGGATGCCAGCGATTCCAGCACCTCTGTACAACAGTTGATGTAGCATGCAGCCACACCAACAAGGAGCAGTGCAAGGAGCCCAACCAGGCTGTTTGGTTTCCGTTGCAGGTCCCGCCAGCCGCCGCCGCCGCGCAGCCACCTGCCGCCGCCACCTGCTGATGTTGCGCCGATCATGCCGCAAACTTTTAACGAACGAGTGTTCGTTATGAATGCACCTGGTCGGTCGCGGCAGAATCTTGGCTCAACAAGCGGGGCAGCATTTTTTGTGTCAGATCCGTGAAATGCGTGCTTTGGTGGGGGGTTCCCAATCGGTCGTCATGCGTATATTCTCAATGCAGGCCTGCGCCAGATGAATTCAATCGGAGTCCCAGAACCAGGCGGACATCAGCGGAGCCCTGAAGGTGGGCCACACGCTATCAGAGCGATCAATTGATTTCCCCGCTCAGACTGCGCCATTCCCCCCCCCCCCTTCCTCGCGGGCTCCTGAACCCCGTTGCCACGCGATGCAGGCTTTCTGACACAAGGCCGGCGCCATGAAGCAGCCAGCTGGATGGCTGCTCTGGCTTCTGGCCGCCGCCGCCAGCGTCGGCTGGGCAGCGGCGGCAGGGCGCACGCTGCTGGACGGCAGTGCGCTGCATGAAGGCATGCTGAGTGCTTCAGGGGACACGGAAGTCAGGCAAGTGCATGGATTCCGCAGCAGAGTGAGGTGGATTGCTTTCATGCCCGATCCTGCACACACACGCCGTGTGCAGCGGCAGCCGCAATGTGCGTTTCCTGCCCCAACGCGAGCACAGTCCCGTCTGCCGCAGGCTGCAGCACCCCGTGGTCCACTTTGACATTCCAAACGGCGCACTGCCGCGGCGCCTGCTGCAATTCGATGCCCCGCCGCCCTCTCCAGCTCTGCCGACAGCGAGGTGCGTGCCTTGCCCTCGCCGCACCAGCCCCCTCCGCCGCATGCCTCGCTGTGCTGAACACTGAGTGTGATCATACGCCTTGCCTGCAGCTGCTCCCCTGCCACCTATACCGGCAACCTCGCATCCCTGGCGCAGCCCGGCAACGCCAACGGCGGCATGCTGTTTGATGTGACGGCCACGTGAGCCTGCCGTCGGCAGCAAGCGGCCACACCGAACACATGGCGCCCCCTCCACCGTCAATCCTCCATTGCCGCCCTGCCCACAGGTCTGCGGATGTCAACATCACCGGCCTGTCCTGGTTCATGCCCGCCGGCTACCCCTCCGGAGCCTCCTTCTTTGCTGTCACTGTGAGGGCGCGCGCCGGCTCCATCGCCGATTTTGGGACCTCCACCAGCGACATCCTCGCCGCCGGCGACTGGGCCCCCCTGCTCACCGCCGCCGTCACCACCACCAACGCCCTGGCAGCGCTGCCGGGCCTGGCGGCGCCTATCGTCGTGCCCGCCGGCACCAAGCTGGCCTTCTGGTTCCTGTTCACGGACGGCACGCGCCCCATGCGCCCCGCGCTGCCCAAGCAGACCTCCGGCTACAACTTCTACGCCGCCAGCGCGGATGGGGCGCTTAACGTGTCGTACGCCATGCAGGTGCGGCAGTCCCACCCTTTCTTTCTGTCCTTGTTGCTGGAAGCTACCAGGCATGCCTTGTCCTGCATGGTTGCCTGCCTGCCTGCCTGGCCTGCTGATCTGCCATCCAGCTGGGGATGTGAGATGTCGCTGTGGGGGTGCTGTGCCCCGCCCGAGTGTGCCCACGCCATCCCACCACCCCTGCACAGGCCACCAGCGTCACCACCGCCAACTGGGGCAACCAGTATGCGTGGAGCGGCGCACTGGAGTACTCCACCTGCCATTCGGATGGGCCCTCCTCCTCGGCCCCGCCGCCCGCGCCTCCCACCCCCGCTGCCTCTGACCCGCTCCCTCCGCCCCCAGCGCCCCCAGCCCCTTCCGGGACCTGCGGCGCCGGCCAGTATTCGTGGCACCCCGGCGCAGAGGCACAGCCGGGCAACGCCGACGGCGGCCTCTTCTTCGACATCATCGCCGGGTGCGCGGCGGCTCGCGCGGCATGTCCCGCAGCTCCCTGCCTGCCGACACACTGCGCGCCGCGCAGCCGCCACCACGAGCAAAGCATGCCCCACGCGCGCGCTCCCTGCCGCAGGCCCCAACCCCTCACCATCACCGGCTTCTCCTGGCGCATGCCCGACTCGCTGGCGCAGGCGGCCGCCCCCGACGCCGCCGCCTTCCCCGTGCGCGTGTCGGTGCGCAGCCCCGGCTCCATCCTGGACAACGACCCCACAGGCCAGTGGATGGTGGCGGGCAAGGTGAGCGGCACCATCATGGCGGCCCCCGACTGGGTGCCCCTCATCGCCGCCAACGTCACCGAGGTCGCCACCTACGCCTGGCTTCCCGCCTTTGCCCCGCTCACCATCGCCCCCGGCACCACCGCGGGCTTCTGGTTCCGCTTTGCCGACGGCACGCGGCCCATGCGCGCCAACCCACCCAAGCTGGGCACCGCGCCGCCCTACCAGGTCTACCAGACCACGCAGGACGGCGCCCTGAGCATCACCTGGGCAATGCAGGTGGGCTGGCTGGCCGCCGGCGCTGGAGCCACCTGTTGGCCGCCGCTGCCTGCCACCTGGCGCGCCGTTGGCCTCGGTCGGGTGGCAGCTGCCCTGCTGGCGCATGCCCCTGCTGGCGCATTTGCGCCAGCCACCCAGCATGGCCGTGCCGCTGCCAGCCTGCCTGCCCGCTCATGGCCGTACGCGCCGCAGCAGCCACGCGAGCGGCCTGTGCCGGTCCCCGGCCGCCGCCTGCGCCCGCATGTGCAGGCCACCGATGCCGCCACCGCCAACTGGGGCAACATGTACACCTTTTCCGGAGACATCGCGTACTCCACCTGCCCCCCGCCGCCCGCGCCCCCCGCGCCGCCGCCCTCGCCGCCCGCCCCGTCCCCGCCGCCGCCTGCGCCCCAGAAGTGAGCGCCGGGCTGCTGGAATGCATCCTCCAGGTGCCCTCCAGCTCCACTCTCGACTCGGAGCACCTCAGGGCAGCGGCCAGCGCGTCCCGCTGCCGTCTCCCTCCCCAGACACCGCCCCCTTCCTTGCCTGCAGCCCTACGGAGCCGCTCACCGTCAACGCCACCAGCTTCGTGGGCGGCGACATGGTGGCTGTCAGCTGGGCCTTCTCCACCTTTGCCGCCGCCACCTCCGACCAGATCCAGGCAAGCCAGTCAACCCAGAGTTGCGTCACCCTGCAGCCTGGCCGCCTGTGCTTGTGCACACAAGTGGCATGTAGCACAGCAGCGAGGGAGGCGGCTGGGTCACCAGCTGCCTCCCTGCCCCAGCCTGCCTTCACATGTGCACCTGCCGTGCTGCAGCTCTTCTACGCCCCTTTGTCCGCCACCTTCTCCACCCTGTACCCAGTCAAGTTCAAGGCCGCAACCAGCGGCTCGGCTGGAACCGCCACGTGAGCTGGGGCGCCAAGAAACCCCGTGCTTGGCTGCGGTTGCACTGGCTTGGCAATGGTGGCAGCAGCGCAACAGCAGCGCAGCAGCAGCAGCGGTCCACCGCTGCACAATCGAGACAGCCGCCAGCAGCCACCTGCAGCTTCCCAGCCGATTGCCTGGCGGGCATGCTGCTGTTGCATTGCCGCTGGCCCGGGGCGCCCAGCAGCTGCCGCTCCCTGCCGCCGCCCTCACCCCTGCAGCTTCATCCTGCCCAACCGCCGGCAGGACCTGCAGTTTGTGTACGTGCGAGGCACCACCCTGGTGACCTCCTCCCCCATCCTCACAAACTCAGCGCCCAACCTGCCGGGCGGCGTCAAGGCCGTGCCGCAGCAGGACGCGGCAACGATGAGCGTGCAGTGGCAGACTCGGGACGCGGGGCAGCCGCAGGTGGTGTGGGGCGCCAGCGCGGAGGCGCTGCTCAACGTCGCCGCCGCCGCCACCACCACCTACACCAAGGCCGACGTCGTGTCGGCGTGCACCCAGGGCCAGCTGACCTCTCCGCTCAGCGGCATGATCGCCACGCTCCAGGGCTGGACAGACCCGGGCGCCATCCACCGGGCCCTGCTGACCGGGCTGCAGCCCAACACCACCTACTACTACCAGGTCGGGTACCGCTGGTACTGCTGGTACTGCTGGTAATTCCGCCCTCGGGGCTAAGCCCAGGCAGCCTTGGTGTCGGCGCCCGGGAGCAGCTGCACCACCTGCCAGCCGGCTCTCCACCTATGCTGCTCCCCGCCCCGCCGTGCGTCCCCGCAGGTGGTGGATGGCGCCAGCCAGAGCCCTGCTGCCACCTCCTCCCCAGTGCTCTCCTTCACCACGCCACCGCCGCCCGGCTCCAACGCCACCTTCACCTGGCTGATGGCGGCTGATGTGGGTCAGGCCCAAGTGGACGGCTCCTCAGTGACCATGGGCATCAAGCCCGGCGCCATGGGGGTGAGCCAGCCAGCCCGGCCCGCGGCTCCGTGTCCACCTGCACCTGCTCCCTGGCGGCGCACCGGCACTGCCACGGCTAGGGTCATCCCCACACCTCGCCGCACGCGTGGCGCGCACCTCACCACCCCTGGCCACCCCTCCCCATGCCCGCAGAACTTCCGCGGCATGGCGCGGGCCGCCGCCGCGGCCCGCCCTGGCCTTGTCTCCTACTCCGGAGACATCTCTTACTCTGACGGCGCCATCGGCGACTGGGAGCTGTTCCTGGAGAATGCGGCCCCGGTGCTGGGCGTCGCGCCGGTGCTGGTGCAGCAGGGCAACCACGAGCGCGACGCGTGAGCGCGCCGGCGTGCATCGTTGTGGCGGCCTGCATGCAGTGGCCTTGCCAGCAGCCCGCGCCCGCTCGTGTCCCCGACCTGGCACCGCAGCTGCTCATCACAGCGCAATGCATGTGCCTCTGGCACCCTGGCGCCTGGCCTGGCACGCCGCTCCACACTTCCCCACCCCGCCCGCCACCTCCCCACCCCTGTGCATGCAGCTACATCAACTCCACCCTCAACTCAGGCGACTGGATCCGCGGCGCCAACTACGGCTTCGAGTGCGGGTGCGTGGGTGCCCGCTGGGCTTCCCTCGGCCTGATGCCAACGGCGAGAGGCAGCGGGGGGCAGCCTCAACTGCGGTTCCTGGGGCCCCAAACGGCACCTCGGATGCCCCGGCCCCTTGCCCACCCCCCGCATCACACGCTGGTGGCTGCAGCGTGCCGGTGGAGGAGCTGTTCCTGATGCCAACTGCCACCCACACCAAGCCCTGGTACTCGCTGGACTATGGTGGGCAGCCGCAAGGCAGCTACCAACCCCAGCGACTGCCGGCCACCTGCCTGACCTCCACCCTCACACACACAAGCACCTGCCTCACCAGCGCCACATGCAACCTTTCGCACCCTCTCCTTGCCACCGCCCTGCTCTCCATCCGCAGGTCCCGTGCACATCCTGGCCCTCAGCTCCGAGCTGGACATGGCGCCCGGCAGCGCGCAGTGGGACTTTGCGGCGGCCGACCTGGCGGGCGTGGACCGCGCCCGCACGCCGTTTGTGGTCATGCAGTGGCACCGCCTCATGTACTCTGCAGGACCAGCCGGCAGCAGCGACTATCAGTGGGGTGACCAGGTGAGGGGTAGAGGCCCGGTGATGCACACAAACCGATGGGCAAGGCCCGTGTGCAGCAGCCAGGCCGGCCCCATCTCGCCCCACCCCCTGCAACGTGCCCCACCATCTGCTGTACCGCCCCGCCCTTGCAGTACATGTACCAAAACGGGTGGGACGACCTCATCTACAACGCCTCTGTGGATCTCACCATCACCGGCCACTTCCACGTCTACTCCCGCACCTGCCCCGTGCACCAGCGCACGTGCATCCCGGGCACCCGCCCCGACGGCCGCCTGGGCGGCCCCATCCACGTCACCACCGGCTGGGGCGGCCCGCAGTCGTTCGGCAACCTCGCGGCCCCGCCCTGGCCCTACATTGCCGCCACCAACAACGCCTCCTCGCCCAACGGCTTCCTGCGGGTCGCCGTGTCGCGCACCCAGCTGGCGGTGGAGGCGCTGGCGGTGGGCTGCAGCCGGCGCCGTCGCTGCATGTGCGAGGCGTGCCAACCTGGCTGTGGAGTTGGCTTAGTGCCCGTGCCCAAGGCCAGCTGCCAGCACGCCACAACAGTAGCTCCTCTGTGCCTCATCCGGAAATGCCCGTCCTCCACTGCAGACCAACTCTGCCGGTGACGTGATTGCAACCATCGACAGCTTCACCATCCCCGCCGCCACTCCACCTGCGCCCCTGCCCCTGCGCATCCTGCACGTCAACGACATGCACGCCCGCATCGAGCCAGCCGACTCCAACTTCAACCTGGCCACGCCCGCCACCTACGGCATCGCATACGGTGGGCTGGCGCGCCTAGCAACCCACGTGGCGGCGGCGCGCTCCCAGGCGGCGTCCGCGGGCCAAGACGTGCTGGTGCTGCATGCCGGCGACCAGTACCAAGGCACGCCCTGGCACGCTGTGTACACCCGCGTGGGCAACCACACCCCCATCTGGGAGATGCTCAACCCCATCGCCTTTGATGCCATGGTGGGCGCGCCGCGGTGGCGACCGTGCAAGGGGATGTTGCACCCCTCAGTACTACTTACTAGTAGTTGCTGCTGACAGCTCACCTGATTGCCTTCCATTGCCCCTCACCCAGTCCTGCTGCCCATCCCGGTGTGCTGCAGGCGGTGGGCAACCACGAGTTCGATGAGGGCCCCGATAACCTGGCCGCCTTTGCCGCCAGCTTTGCCACGCCGCTGGTCAGCTGCAACGTGAACGCCAGCCGCCACCCTGCGCTGTCCGCCCTCCTGTCTCCCTTTGTCATCCGCACCCTGCCCGTCAGCGGCAAGAAGGTGGCCATCATCGGCTTGACCCCGCCAGACACGCCCATCACGAGCTCGCCCGGCCAGCTGGTCGACATCCTGCCCATTGAGAGCACGCTGCCCGGCTGCATCGCCGCGGCCAAGGCGCAGGGCGCTTCCATGATCGTGCTGCTGTCCCACGTGAGCTGCGCGGGCGCCTGGGCTGCCACAAGCAAACAAGCACAGCCTGAGGCGTGATGGTTGACGCCAGGGCGCGCACCACAAACGATTTGCCCACCCCAGGCCACCCCCACCCACCCCGCCACCGCCCCTCTGCCCGCCGCTGCCGCAGGTTGGGTACAATGTGGACAAGGGCATCGCCAGCAGCGCTGCCGCCGCTGACGTGGACCTCATCGTGGGCGGCCACTCCCACACCTTCCTGTATGGCACCCCCGCCCCCGCTGGCCAGCCCCAGCTGCCCGGCTCTCCCGCACCCAACCTCACCGCCACCACGCTGGAGTCTGGTGCCGAGGGCCCCTACCCCACCAACGTGCTGAATGTCGCCACCAACAAGACCATCCCCGTCACCACCGCCTTCTGGGGCTCACGCTATGCGGGAGACCTGGCCACCAGCTGGGATGCCGCCGGCAACCTGCTCAGCGTCGCGGGCAGCCCCGTGCTGCTGGGAGGGGCTGCCTCGGCGCACCCTGTGGCCGGTGAGTGGGAAGTGGTGGCTGCGCTGCGCTTGCCATCGCGTGCTGTGAGATGCTGCCTCATCCACCCTTGCTGACATCACCCACCACGCTTTCCGTCCTCGTGCGCTGCAGACGACGCCGCCACCGCCGCCAAGGTGGCCGCGTACCGCGAGCCGCTGGCCGTGCTGGCCAGCCTGGTGGTGGGAGAGCTGGCCACCCCGCTGGTGGGCGCCGCCAACAGGGCCATCGGGCGCAACCAGGAGACCAATGTGGGCAACCTGGTGTGCGAGGCGCTCATCTGGGGCGCGCAGAACATTGTGAGTGGTTTGGGGGGGGTGGAGGGTGGGGGAGGGGTGGCTAGCACCTGCATGGCTGCCGACGCTCTCCAGCCTCCGCTGCCGCTGCAATTGGATCCATCGCCCGGGTGGCCTGCAGGGCGCGTCTGCCGCGGTGCTTGCCGCCAACCCCGGCCTGCCAGTGGTGTGCCTGGAGAATGCGGGCGGCATCCGCGCCGACCTGCCCGCCGGCAACGTCACCATGTCCCAAGTCACCACGGTGTTGCCCTTTGGGAACACGTGAGCTGGCCGCTGGGCACGGGGAGCAATTGCAGTGGGAGGCATGGTGTCTGCTCGTCTTCCCCACCTCCGGGACAGCTGCTGCTTCGCCACGCCAGGCTCACTCCCGCTGCCTTGCCTTTGGCCTGCCTTACCGCAGCCTGGTGCTGGTGCGCGTCAGCCCTTCCGCACTGCTGGCGGCCCTGAACAACGGCCTGAGCGGCTACACCGGCGACTCTACCGCCGGCGGCCGCTTCCCCCAGATTGCTGGCATGCGGCTGGCCTTCAACCCCTCTGCCGTCGACAAGTTTGCGCGGCTGCTAGACTTGCGGCTGACCACTGCAGGCGCCCCTGCAGTGGCCGATCTCCCCACCGACATCATCGTCATCACCAACAACTTCATGGCCTCTGGCGGGGATGGGTGAGGGAGGGGGCGGCTGGTGGTCTTGGGTCACTGGGGCGGCGGCCTGTGTCTGGTGTTGTAGTGCCTGCATACCACCGTCACACCCTTCACCCA